GCTAGTTGGTGTTTGAGATAATGGAGCATATAACATTTCAATCTTACTGGTACTGTGCTGTTCAACAGCAGATGTGACTGTCTCATTGTTGTTGTTTGACAATGTTTGATGTTCTTTAGATTGTTTCAATATATCAGCGATAGTTGTCATACAATTATATACTTCTAGCATCAAATTTTTATTATCCATTATACTTTTAGAAAAAAAGTGATGAAACTAATGCTTAATTATTTTGTCGAAGAAGAAATGTCAAAGTAGTTTCCAAGTCAACAGACTGATTCGATTAAAAGAGCACTAGTTCTTGAAAAATCTTTTTTCTTCGATATTTTACAGAGAACGCACTAAGTAGTTGAATGATTTGGTTTCTTTTCGCATATATATGAATAATAAAGTGTGTTTCTCACTCACTCGAGATGTTATTGCAAAAGAAGTTGCTTATTTTAATGGTTCAGACACCAACTAGCAAGCAAGAACGAAAGTCAGATAATGACTATTCGGCTGAAGATCATATTGTTAGTGAACACCTACATTATGATCCATTAACAGAAGATAATTTTCATAATGCACATTTATGTAACAGAAATATTGATGAAATACCAAGTAGGTATTTAATCTAAATGGAAATCCATTGATATCCGCTATGAACATGGAAGCTCTCTTAAAAGTGCAGGGAAAAAAACGTACTATTATGCTTGTGTTCATCACTATATGATTCGATACATAGGGATGACTACACGTTGGGATCTATGCAGAAGTGATGGATGTAACATCGCAATATGCTTTGTAGGAAAATTTTATGGATAAGAAAGCTATAAGTTCTTTTTGACAGTCACGAGTCTCCTTACACTGAAAACTTCATTTTAGTTAACCTGATGCTTATTATTTATTAGGGTACTCGCTATAACCAAAGATTCATCCAAGATTCTTTTCAAACTAAATCAATATTTAACATGACTAACCAAGTTTTTATCTGTTAAAATGACCAAATCTATTACATCATGTTTCAGGCACTTGAATTGTTTATCCTAATATGTCAATGTCCTGCTTGTAATAGTCATCGCTCATCTGTCCTTATTAAAGTTCCATCTTCAGACGTTCCCGTTGCTCTTTCGGTTCTGCTTTGTACTATCACCAGCAACAGCCCGTACTATTTTCACGTTGTTCATTCTTCTTGTCAAATATCGATAATGTGAATTGACGTATTGTTCCGGCGTAGCACCGCAGAATAAAGTTCTGGCCAGGGCATATCTCTATTACTGCATATACCATGAAGTTTTATTACTGGATTTGTTGTCGGCACTCATGGGACGATCGATATTTCTAACAGACAGAACTCAGAAAATTTTCTAATTTTCTTAGCACCCTTGAATACTGTAAAGCTTATTATTTTTCAGAAGTCTGTACAGAGTTTGATAAACCTGTTTAAAGGTAAACAAATACAAAAAGCACCTTACAGAACCCAAACAAGCAAACTTCTTTAGCTTATAACGAATTTCTTGAGAGTTAGTGGCTGGATTCATGAGACATCAAACAAATCTATTAGCCATTTTGTAGCCCCTGAAGATCTCTATCTTTCTATTTAAACCAAACTTTTATCCATCGAGACTAGAAATTATCCATAAACTCTGTAATGCAAAGTAGAATCAGTTTTCGGTAAAATTTGGGCAAACAACTGTACAGTAGCGATACATTATACCGTCCGGACCCGCTATCATGAAATAAACTAACAGTTCATTTCGCATAAAGAGTCTTTCTGTTTTCGAGCCGAAAACTTTTTCTTATTTTATACGAAATGATTGCTCTATTATATCTTTTTACTAAAACTCGAATAAAAGTTTTCAACCGTCGTCGGAGTACACACAATGACAAAATAGCGAATATTTGGCCATTGCCCATAATTGAACCTTTATAATCGATTGACTTTATTCTTCGGTTTGACAAGAAAGAGTGCACTTGAAAGTACAGAAAAAACTACTTTCATTCGTTTTGATGACCGCAAAACAGCTGAAGAAATACAAATGTTTACCTGAATAAACTTAAGAAGTTTGCCTTCTTGGTGCCCCGCGCTCAAAGATGTCAGAAAATTAGAAAGTACAAACAGGATCATTCTGTATGGCACATCCGTTACAATATGCACCATTTTCTTACAGGCAGCAAGATGTACGAAATATTTTTTGTGCTTGAACGTACTTTTCGTGGGTGGTGTTAGATATGATATGCAAAATTGTTGTGAATAACATACGATACTATCCTCAGTATTTGTGGATTAGCACCGCACGTTACAAGGCCCTTCAGACTCCAATAATGCTGCTCTTTTTCTCTATTTTAGATTTGAATCAATGTGATATGTACAAATTGAAAGCAATTAATATGAATTCGATAAGAGATTTACTTGGCCGATATTTGATTCACGATACGCCGGAAGAATTTCAGCAGTTTTTGAAACAAACATTTAACTTAAGTAAAACGTCGGCACAGACGATTACACGTCTGTTACATCAATGGGTTCAATATAACGTGGATTGTAAAAGAGAACATCGATGAGATAATTACAACAGAATATTCGATAAACAAAAATGCATATATATTAAAGTGTCTAGTAGATCAAACCATGGATTAATTCTATTACGTACAAAACAATGAGAATTTGATCACATAACTTTAGTACTTGTAGAACTCGCACAAATTACGAGAGTCGCTGACTTTCTCTTTGTTATCACTTGTAGGGTAAACTGGTAGATTTTTCTTTCAAAAAAAAAAGAATAAACGCTTTGACCACAGGATTTTTCAACATAGTGAGTGCTATCGGAAAGAAACACTTTGAACACAAGTGATAGTTGACAGAAGAAACTGTTATTTCGGAAGCGTGTTCTGAGCTTAAAACAATCTTTTCGCTTTCATTCAAGCAATTTTCATCAATTTTATATGACTACCAGGTTTTACCAGATAACTTTTCGCGTTAGAACACTCGCAGAAAATCCATTCCGAAATTTTATTTGCTCCGAGATTGTTCAGGATGTTTCCGGTTCAATATTTATGTTTTATAATTATTGCTCTGCTTAGGTTTTTACCAGGAATATCAGACTCAAAACATGAAAAAATCAGAGAATAAAAGTTTAATGTCAGAAAAAAAACTCAATAAAGGTTGTTTAGAGTTAGAGAACCAGAAGATTTTACAACGAAACAGAGCAAAAAAGAGTTAATAAAAGGATTCAAAAATTAGAATTTTTGTGTTAAAGTCAGAAAATCCGAGATCGATTTTCTTGGTAACTAACACACTATAGTTCAGCTTTCTCATCATCCAACCTCAAAGAATGCCGCTTTGTCCCGTGCCATTTTCTTTCTTTTTAATCTGGCTTCCTTCCATATATAAAGGTAAATATGAAGCAAGAATAGTAGAAAAAAAGTTTCATATTTACATCCAAACTTTCATCTAGAGAAGATTACACTCACTATTAGTATATATACCAAGTTGCTGGAATTCTGACAACTTGCAAGTGTAAAAGGTTAATTAATTTGGAAGTACCCTCTCCAGTTTCTATGCCAGTTTTTAGTACACGAACTGTACTCTACGTCGGGTCTTTCTTTAGAAAAGCATACAATTTTTGAGTTATAAGACTGCGCATGTTCAACATAAAACAGTCGCTCGGTGTTCAACATAAAAATCTGTTTTTTCGATGTGAATGAAGATGTTACATTAATTTTTAGAGAACTTTGTGAACTACCCATGAGTTGCCTGATTCGAGTTCGAATATAAATGGACCCCAACTGCTTACTATCACTTCGAAAATAAATGCTTCGACATAACTATATATATACATATAGGTAGGATTATATCTTGTAGATGCAGATTTAGTTAGGAATAGATTTAGTTTTATTTATTCATATATACATACATAGACAGGGGTATGTCCTGTAGACGCAGATTTAGTTACGAATAGATTTAGTTTTATTTCGGGGTAATCATGTCTAAAACGTATGTTTTTGTATGCGAGTGTTTTTGCTGCAATTGTTGGACGTTAGATTCAAGGTGGGATTCGGTTATTTTGATCATGTGTATGTTACTGAGTGATGAAAGTTTCGTCTAAACAATATCTGTTTTTTAAATTGTTGATAGTTTACTCGATAATCGCTGTGGTTCGAGTTTTTGTTTGTACTATGCTAGCTTCGTAAAAGTTTTTTTCCTGTTAAAAGCCTCAGCAGTTACAGTTTATTACTGGATAAATAAATTGCGCGGTTTCTAGAATAAATGGCTTACCCACACTTTTTTCCGAATAAATGGCTATGCAGTTGCCTATCCGGGAGCGTTCTCTAGCATAAATGGGTAATTTCTAGCGTAAATGGCTTTTTCCTAGCATAAACGGCATAAATGGGTTAGCCATTTATTACTCTCCAGCACAGAGTTGTTTGGTATATGTATAGTATGATATTGAAGCCCATAGTGGGTATGGATTTCTGAAATTTCTGACGCTGTCGACAGTTGACGTATATGCACTGTCTATCGTGGCATGAAAAAGGAGAAAGCGGAAGGGAAAATTCTTTTAATTGTACAGTATGTGTGTTGTGCAGTTGAAGAAAAGATAAAAAGAAATCGTGTTTGAGGCTGTTTCGTGCATACCTGCCTGCCTATTCGTATAGTAGACTATAAGGTGAGAAAAAAACTGTTGTGTATGGTTTGATAATATGTTTGTACAGTAGAAGATGTTTGTGCAGTCTGTGTAGTACATATGTGCATATACATATACTGCAGTGTGTGTAGGAGGGGCGGTGGTTGATGAGTGAGGCGCAACCCAATATTTCTTACGATAGTTACTGTAGATGTTAACTACATTTTCAGAATGTATAAGCATGGCGGAGTATGGTGCAATATTGTCTGGTCCCTATCAGTCGGTATGTTGGAAGTGCGGATGAGGATTTTGGGCTTCAATATCATTTGGTTACGAGAGTAGACAACTCCAGCATAAACGACTCTTTCTCTTCACAATTTGTGAGGTTTATGCCATTTATGCTAGAGAATGCGCCCGGATAGACAAATTATGAAGAGAAAGAGCCGTTTATGCCAGTGGTCATAACTATTTTGTCAAATGTCGTGTCAAAACTTTCCATAAGAATGTCAGACACAAGCATAAATTTACTACATTCATATCCTGTCATAACATGTGTGAAACACATACCCATACACAGTCAAACATTCTTCATTCAAACATTCATGTTTGATATATGTCAAACATGAATCTATGAATGATGAATGTTTGACCATCTATGGGAATCTATGGATGGAAAGTATAAGTGGCTAACCCATTTATGCTAAAGGTTAATAAATGGCAGAGCCATTTATGCTGACATTCCAAACTTTCGAAACTGACACTTTCGACGCAATGATACCCATCCAATACGTCGACTTCCAAACTACCACACTAAACTACCTACCCAAATACTGACCCACCCAACTACCCCATACATTCATGAACAACCACCACTGATGTCTACCTACATCCACTACCCCAAGCAAATTACTATATCAGTTAAAACTCATTTCTATTCAAGAAAAACGATCTCATAATCATAACTATTGTTATTATTATTGGAACAACAATTCCTATCAATATGCATAACCAAAACTAAATCTATTCCTAACTATATCTGCATCTACGGGACATATCCTACCTATGTATGTATATATCATTGAATATATGTATGTAGATATAGATATAGACATAAAGAATATGCATTTATATTCGAACTCGAATTAGGCAACTACTCGAACTACCATGACTTTCGGATTTTCTCTTCGGATCATGATAGACAGGTCGTGTACCACGAAATTGAAGGACAGAAAGAGTCAAGCGACTTTTTTCTTTCTTAGCATCGGATGTTTGGCATCTCAAGCTTTGAAAAGCATTTCAAGGGCTCTGGAAAGCTTCCGGAGAGTCCTTTTCCCCCTTGGTAAGAGTACACATTGTTGCATATTATAATATGTAACAATGTATACTCTACTACTACTAATACTATTATAATTTGTAACTCACAACTTGACATATATACGTCAAATTGTGAGTTCTACAGAAGAGATATATATTCTCTGGACAAGACGAACAACTCTTACAGCAAATTTTTAACAAAATCACTATCAGTGTTGAGATCTCTAGTTTTCACGGTAATTCACAAAATTTTTCTTATTAATTCAGTTAGCAAAGTATGAAATAACTTCATACTCTATACTCAATTTCTTGTTCAATAACACATGAACACTTGATTGAGAATAGTTGAGAACAGTTTAAAAAAGTAACAAGGTTGGAGTATTAATAAGTAATTAAACGATAAGATTATAGAATTCGGTGTTATGGCGGTGTCAGTGTTTCTTTGGCTTGGGATCTTGTGGTAATCACAGAAAAAATGTTTTCTTTGTTCATGATTATAAAAATGAAATAACGACAAGTCCATTTTACTAGGGGCAATTATTTCAGAACGTAAGACCACTTTTACAAGCACAAAGTACTTTTTTCTAGTGGAGCACACTACACTAAGTACACACACACAATCATCTCTGCCGAATGTAAAAGAAGCTGATAAGAAAGAAAATGAAGATTGAAGGAGAACAGTCGCATGAATGTACACATGAGTTTAACGAACATGAGACAGCTCTGGAGCGAGCCGGATCATAACGCGTAACTGCCCGCGTTCATTCCGAATATATAAAAAGCTCATTGTAGACTTCCCAAAATCTTTGGGGATGTTCAAAATGAAATGCTTGTATTATTACAACCAGATTCAGCGTGGTCGACTACGTATGTTTCATGCGATTCCAGTGTAATCGCAAATCATCGGGTACCAGTTCAGGGACTACAGAAAAAGTCCGATAGCGCTTCTGAACTGCTGAATATGAAGACCTCGCTTGGAACCCATTCTATAGGAACAAATCGAGCTAACTGCCTATGAAAAAATTAATTAATTTATGCTGCGAGTTTCAGAAATATGGTTCGGTTTTTCAGAGACTCTATGAAAAATCGGTTTTTCAACAAACTTTGAAAAACTTATCTCTTACATAAAGATAGGGCGACGTTATAGCTATGGAATGGTGAACATCGCAACTGTGTTTCTACCTATTATCAGTCAAAAGTTATTTAAAAAATGACTTTTGTGGACACAGTAATAAACAGTTTAGAAATCTAATATGCCTAAAAATGAGTTAAAATAACTGCTAATCAGTAACTTTTTGGAAAAGCAAATAAAGACTGTGTAGTGCTTGAAAATCTCTATCAAATGATATATTTCTTCATGATCTCCAAGAAATCGATGACTTACAAGTAAAAGTGTAATGCAACAGAGTGACGCTAATCAGCATCAATTAGCACTTATTAATTATAATCAAATACCTTAAAAAAACAACTTTAAAAGTCTTTTTATGCACCCATAACCATAGATCTTTGGAATCAAACTACAGAAGAATGACGTTTCTAAGATTATGTTTTATCGAACTACAAGCTTTTCAAAAAGAGGACTAGCAATTCAACTTTTTTTTTAACTAATTTTGTTACTTTATA